TCTCTCACACTCACTCTCTCACACTCTCTCTCTCACACTCTCTCACGCACGCACGCACTCTCTCACACTCGCACGCACGCACTCTCTCGCACACACACACACACTCTCGCACGCACGCACTCTCTCTCGCACGCACGCACGCACTCTCTCTCGCACGCACGCACGCACTCTCTCGCACGCACGCACGCACTCTCTCGCACGCACGCACGCACGCTCTCTTGGACGCACGCACGCTCTCTCGGACGCACGCACGCTCTCTCGGACGCACGCACGCTCTCTCGGACGCACGCACGCTCTCTCTCATGCACGCGCGCACGCACTCTCGCACACGCACTCTCACACGTGCTCACACACGCACACACACTCTCTCACACGCACTCTCTCACGCACACACTCTCTCACATGCACTCTCTCTCTCTCTCACACGCCCTCTCTCACACACACACACACTGACACACACACACACACTGACACACACACACACACTGACACACACACACACACTGACACACACACACACACTGACACACACACACACACTGACACACACACACACACTGACACACACACACACACTGACACACACACACACACTGACACACACACACACACTGACACACACACACACACTGACACACACACACACACTGACACACACACACACACTGACACACACACACACACTGACACACACACACACACTGACACACACACACACACTGACACACACACACACACTCTCTCTCTCACGCACGCGCGCACGCACTCTCGCACACGCACTCTCACACGTGCTCACACGCACTCTCTCACGCATACACTCTCTCACATGCACTCTCTCTCTCTCTCACACACACACACACACACACACTCTCTCTCTCGCTGACACACTCGCTCACACACACTCACACTCACTCTCTCACATGCCCACTCATTCTCTCACACGCACTCTCTCATACACACGCGCACACACTCACACTCTCTCTCACACGCACGCACACGCACACACTCTCGCACGCACACATACACACTCACTCTCTCTCTCACACACACACACACACACACGCTACGCTGATGTCACAGGCTGATGGGATGCGGCTCACTGATCGGCTGTGTGTCTGTTTGTCTGTGTCTGTGTGTCTGTGTCAGGAGGAGTAAGTATGATATCCTGATGGAGTCCACATCTAACCTCCTCTCTGAGCTGCCTGACAAGACCGGCATCATGATGAAGATCCGCGAGCAGCTGGTGACCACCGTATTATCCTTAATCTTATAGTTACTGTCATATTTACAGATAACTATAATGTTAACAGTGATGATGTCTACAGCGGTAATGAGACAATGATGGTGATGTGGTAATGTTGCATGTTGTTGTGTGTAGCGTGTGAGCGAGCGCACCTTCAAGCGCGTGTATCAGTACATGTTGGCTGCTAAGATGGTGAGCGTGGTGAGGATCCCTCTGAAGGAGCTCGACCCCGGTGGAGGCCCCTTCAAAACGCTTCGAGGTCAGAGGTCGCGCCGCAGTCTAGCTCATCTGATTGGAGCAGGCGCAGCGCTGTGAGCTGACGGGCTCGTGTGATTGGTTGTTAGGCACTGACGTGTTCGTGCGCTGTCTGAAGCTGCTGAAGCCGTACGGACAGAAGGAGGCGGAGGAGGAGGAGGACGAGGAGAACAACGATGAAGACGGAGATGCGTGCGCCAGGAGGAGCGTCCTCGGCGAGCCGCGCATCATCGAGCGAGACATGCTCACGCAGGCCTACGACATCGGTCAGACATCGCTCGCTACTCACGCTTCTCTCGCTGCATACCGCAGCCTTCAGGCGCACCTAGAGCCATAACGATAATAACTATAACAATCAGTATAATGACAGCTATAACCTTAACGATAACTATAATAATGATGATGATAACCATAAAGATAATGATACCTATAACGACAGCTAACGAAAACGAGTTTGAGAGATGGTTCTAGCTCTACGGTGACACCAGTGGGCGTGTCTTTGTGTGATGTGTGCTCTGTGATTGGCTGCTGCAGTGGTGTCGACCGGGACCAGAGGGATCTCTCAGTCGGCGCTGCGAGGACGACTCAACCTCGGGAAGCTGGAGGGACGCATGATCTGCAGATTACTGGAGCGAATCAGCATGATCAAGGTAACAGACGCGGATCTCACACACTTCCCCACAGCGTGAAGCAGGCATTCATCACTAGTGAGGAGAGCGAGTCCAGCTGACGGACCAGAAGAGGGAGCTGAGACAGACTAGACCATAGCAGATGAGTTCGTTTAGAAACCAAATGCAAAAGCACCTGTTTGCCAATATTTTGGAAAACCTGTTGACTTTTGCTGTTCATCTATGGTGATTTTGGAAGTTTTTAGACATCTGTTTCTTATTTAATTGGTTCCTCAGTGTTTAATTTTTACTTTTATTTAAACTTTGTGTACTTTATTTTATTTGACATCAAGGTGTATGCCGTGTATGCCTCCAAGCTTTCTTACTCGTTTTG